GGATACGAACAGGTGTAATTTACGCAGCTCATTTACACACTTTTCCTGAAGATAGAAGAGTTTGTTGAATCTGACGTGACATGTTCGTACGAACCCTTCAAACGAACAAAAGTAAGAGAAATTTAGGATAAGAATACGAACATGTTCTTGCATGAGGCCCATTGGTACCAAATACTAAAGAAGTGTATTTTAACTTTTGAATTTAAAGAAAGGAATAAAAATTGTCTTAAAATTTGTCCTTCTCATTATTCTGGAATTTAGCAAACAGAAAAATGTTGGTAATCCTAATTGACCTAAAACAGGAAAAGTTTGTGAGTTTTCAGACAGTGGGGAAAAAAAACGTGTGTGTCTTTATATATAGTGAATGTACGTCTACTTTCTGTATATGCTACCATCATCCAGTATCTTGTTTAGAAAATGTTAACAGGAATATATAAAAAACTGTTAACCTGTTCTCGGTTTTCAGTTCACTGCAGGTCTTATCTGCTTCTTCCAGCTGAGTCTGCAGGGCCGCGATCTTCTCCTGCTCCAATTCTTCCTGCTGCACCCTCAGCATCTTATTCTCATGCTGCAGTCTGATGAACTTTTCTCTAAATAAACACACTGAGTCAGTGCTCTCACACTCAACATACAGCACAAGCTATACATTGTACCAGTAAATACCTGTATTCAACAGGCAAAATTTCAGCTGCCAGGTTGTCATGGCTTGGGCTGCCAGAGGTAAGCATCCCTACAAGAGAAAAAAAAAAGAAAGCASACTAGCATCATCATCATAATCCCTGTTACATAGCTGTGTGATAAGGTACCTGCTTGGAAGAGCTGGTGCTCCTGAGCCTGAGAACATCGAAGCTCCTCATTAATTTCTCTGAGAGAATCTCTCTCAATGATGATCCTCTAAGGGAGCAGAAAAAAACAAGAGTTTTATAAGAAAATAATATATTACTGATGTGTTTCCAAAGATGCTGGACCTCTTTTTCTTTGATCACAGCTTCGTGTTTTTCCTCCAACTTTTTCATCTCAAAAGCCAGAGTATCTGATCGCCTCGTCTCTTCAGACATCTTCCTGTGTAGCTCCTGGACCTTAAAAACAAACAAAACAACCACAAGATGTTAACAAACGGGAAAATATATTTGTAGAAGATGTGACTCACATTCTTACACTTATTTTTGCACTTATTAAAAATGAGGCACCAGGCCAGTTTACTAGCTGATAGCTGATTTATGCACACTTTAATCAGACTCATAACCCCTTAAATGTGAATTTGTATATGTACAGGGAACATTTTTACTGTAAACAATCCATATACACTCAAATGAGAAGGAAACCAAATTTGTGTTTTGAATTTTTTTTTACCAAAAAAAAAGAATAAGATATATAT